CGGGTTGCTGCAGTGAAAGGGCTCAGTCAGCAATCAGACCACACACACGCACATACATATGAACAGCAATCTGACTTCCTCTGTTCAGTCCACTATCTCTCTTGGCTTCCTGCGTATCTGACAAAATAAGTGAAAAACATTCACTTTCAACATACTTTCACTTCAGCTTCCTAAAATCTCTTGGGTGCTGAACAAGCTTGCAATATACAGAGAAAAAGAAAGATAGCATGGGAAAGAGGAATTAAAAAGAGATGGTTCATTATTACTCTGCAAAACCATATTCGGTATGCTCTGCACATCATTTACCCAGAGAAAAGTTCAGGCTGAAGATTTCCTTTAAATGGTAAATGGCCTCCACTTGTGTAGCGCTTCCTAATTGTACTGCTTCTTTATTCACCCATTCATGCTTAAATATTTAGTGGTGACTGAGCTGCAATAAAAGACATTGACCTGGCATTGGGTTTCAGTGTCTTGCCCAAGACCCTTTGGCAACTCAGTGATGTGACAACCTGCTTCACCACATAAACCATGGGTGCTCCATTTTAAAAGTTACATTCATGAACCAAAGAATCTTTTAAATGCAAACACATTTAAAAGCTAAAGTTATTGGAACTTTCATCTGGTAAATTTAGCATTTAATTGGGAAAGAAATTATGTGAATATGAAGTTGATTTCATAGATTTAGCAGTAGTGTTGCAAACATCAGCCAGACAATTTCATAAGCTATTGTGGTGAGACATACCTAAAATTCCTAATAGCAGACACCTTGTGTCTGTCTAGTGCTCACAGGTTTCCCTGTCATCATGTTCCAGTCTGACCAGACTCATGCCATTCTTTAAACCACTGAAAGATACAAAATAAAGTGTGTTGTTGGGGTTTCTACTTCAATGAACATGTATGAGAAGCACCAAGCATTATGACACATAAGTACTCTGTTCTAATTATTGTACATCTGTTCTTCTTACGCAAATGGCTTCTTTTATAAAATTCCTTATTAATCACTTGCACCCACGCCTCATTGGCGAATAAAGATATCTCACTGAAAAGTGTCTGCTTAATGTTACTGAATTCTGATTTGACTGTGTTGTTTTAGATCCCTTCTTTTGCAAAGTGCAGAGTACTACAGTGGCACGTGCAGCAGGGTGACAAGACCCCACACTGAGAACAAAATGACAGTGCACAGAATAAAATAAAGATAGGACTGGGCACACAACAAATATACATCACCGTTCGTAGCAGAGCGGTAAGTAAACAGTCAGGAAACAATAAAAGTGAAGCGATGACTGGACCGCTTTACCACACGGTTGTTATCACAATGGGATCCATATGACAGCGCTCTGATGGGCACGTCAGTTACTGCAAGAGTTGCAAAAAGATGAAAGAAAGAAAAGTAATATCTTTGTTGTCCAAACTGTTTTTCAGCGTTCTGAAGGGGGACTGTGCTTTCACTTTCACTGTTAACACCAAACCTGCGACACAAATTGCAATTGATTTTGTCCAACAAATCAGCAATTTATTAAGAGGAATGTTGATAGAATTTTATGCAAATTACATGTGCAAAGAAGTTATTTTATCCAACGCGTCCCCAAACTCAACAGTCATATCACAAACACACCAGACTTGTCTGGAACTTTTGCTTTCGCTTCACTTTCTGCTTGGTTCAATTTAGGGACTGAAAAACTGTGATTTTTCTCTTATTCACACAATTTCTAAAAATCACCCATGGTTTATAATAAGAGCTTGTACGACCAGTCTGTGGGGAAACGCAGTCTGTTATCCAATGTGCAGTTAACAAGAAAACACAGAGCAATTTTTGGTTCATGCTGTTTTGTCCTCAGATCCTAGAAAATATCGAACCTACGATTGAACCCCCAAAAATAACTTGTATCATGCAATATGCAATATAACAGCTATGTAATTCTGAAATAACTGAACCTGTATTGTCTACTCTAGGCCTAATGTCAATTGAAAATAGTAGCTGTTCATTAAAATTAAAATTTGGCCATTATGTCGTCTTTAAATTTAGTAACTTTATTTATGAAGTTTTCACAACTCTAAACCTGCATTCAATAATGAACAGTTTTTCACAACACTGACTGAAAGTCGCAGATACATCTAATAGTGTGTGGAAGTGTTTGGCAAACATTATGCAGAAGAGTTTGAGTATAGCTGTGGCTGCAGGTTGACTAACCTTATGTTGAAAGTGAGTGAAGACACAGCAAAGGACAAAAGTTGGGTTCGTGTTTTGACATAACCAATTACACAAACATCATACGATGCCTTTCTGCTTCCTGCTCAGGACCCACAGGAAGTGGGTCAGTTGTTTGCTTTTGCGTGAGAAGAAAAGGGAACTTTTTTCGGTGACGTTATTCTCACGCAGACAAACTGAAATAACCCAACTTTTGGCTTTTTCTCTCTCAAACTCTCCATCCTCCCTAAACAGAAAAAAGCAGAAGTGTTTTAAAGAAGGTGTTGGTGACTCAATGTCTGTATGGTTAGCTCTGTCTAGCATTTTTGCTGCAATTAGTCAGTGGCCGTTATTATTTTCACATTTTTGCAGTTACTATGGAAAACTGTAAACCGCAGAAGGCAAAGAAGTTGTGCGAAAAAGCATTAGTAGCTCAGAAACTAACTACAGATACAGGTCTAGCATATTTAAATTCTAAATATTGTGTGGAAGTTGACATAACTGTATCTTGCGATTTTCCCCAAACAAATGCATCATCATAGGAAAATTCTTTGATAGTTTTGCTAACTGGACAAAATGTTAACTTATGCTAATCTATATTTTATGACTCACTGATGCAGTTGATGCTTTGCTAAATGCTAATTAAGCTATATGCTAAATTGACGGTAATCCGTAGATGATGAGTCATTAGGGTAGCTTATGCTTTGCTAATTGCTAATTGAGCAAAATTCATGGTAATCCTCACAGAGCAGTGTAATGAGTCACTTCAAGATGTCTCACAGAGACGTTTAATCCGTGGGAAGCAAATTAAGGAAATTCCTCTGCAGCTGCTTCATTCATCTTAATGTCTTTGTGTGTGTGCGTATGTAAGAGAGAGAGGGACAATTGTGAAATAATCGCAGATTACAGACGTGTGCTTGGTGATCATCATTTTCGCTCATAATCAGTTAAGTTGTCATCAGCTGTTAACACTGACGTAATGAAGTAGATGAGGCAGCTAAGCTTCTGTTAATTTCCCACCAGCTTAATTCATTTGAGCGTTCTGTTTTATGATTCACACATAGTTTAAGTCAATTTAAAGACCAAGAGTTGGCCTGTTTTTTAAACATTCCCAAAATTTTACATGTCATCATCAACAATTTAAATTCTAAAAAAATAGATGTCTGCACATTAGCAAGATCTTCAGGCAAGAAACAAACTTTCTTGGTGCCTGAGGCCTTTTGGTTTTAATGAACACTCATGTTTGATTAGTCTGGATGGAGAACAAAAAACAGATTACAATCTAAGACCTGCCAGCTGTTCTCTGACATTTAGCTATTATTCGTTTTTTATTAAAATTTGCCTGTATTTTTAAATAATCATCAGTGGTCAGAACAGAGGCCTGTAGTATGAAGCAGGATTTGGAATTATGCAGGTAACCTCAGGCTTAACTCTATGAAAGTGGTTCCCAGCGTACATCACCATGGTAACCTATACTGTGATGGAGCATCTTATGTTTGAGATTAGCAATAAACAGATATGAAATCCGTACCTAGTGACCACTCAAATCTCTAAAAATATTCCTGGAAAATCCCTTGAAACGTTGCGCATGTATTGTGAAAGCATATAAAATATTTGTCTTTCCTTGATTATCATCAACAGGAAATACAGATTCTTACATGCACTCTTATTCCTGCTGGCTGCAAATAATTTAACAACACTTTTATTGTTCTATAGATTGATATATGATCCTAAAATGGGAACATATTTTTGTGACCTTATAAATCTGTCCCTCTCAAATTTGCACATAGTCTAAGCCTACACTTGAATTCTGAAATCTTTACTCTCTGTGTCTTAAACATCATCAGGGATGCAACTAAAAAAAAAACTAAAACTTGTCCATCTAAATATTAATTTAATGGAATAACAGCTGTAATCCATCAGTGTCTTTATGGCAGAGCATTGATAGTCTGTTAACTTTAAATTATAGACATCTTTTATTCATGTTTCTGATTGGTCAGATGCTGCTAGTATATACAGCAAAACACCGTCAAATTCCAACGGTAATGGAGCATAAAACCAAAAACTTCCTTTTACTGTATTAAATAGATTGAATAACCGTTAATTGTGAGACTGGATAAAACTTTGTTTTTTACTGTAATAAAATGTTGAAATTATAAATATTTTCTGTGAAAACAAATAAATATGCATACATTTTACAATTACATATTGTAATGTTGAAAATGTCTGAAAAACTTAGATTTTACGGTATTATTTGAGTAAAACTACATCTTTTGGGGTTGTGCACATTGGAATTCACAGTATAAAGCTGTAGATTTTTAAGCAAACAAAAACATTCATTTTTACAGAAACAAGATGTTAAAAAATAGGGTCCACCGTAATAATACAACCAGTACATACCATTAAAAAAAAGCAAATATCAGCAGTGAAAGACAATAAAACTGATAGTATTTTTATTTTTTTTTAAATTCAGATACTGATATACAGATTAAAAGTTAGGCCTGCAGTATATCATTGTTAACCTTCTGATAAAAAAATCAACAGCAAAAGAAGATGTTAAAAATAAAGTTTATGGTTGTGAATAAAATTGATTTCAATAATCTTTTTTAATCATTATTTTAAAACAACTTTATGTTGTTGTGTTTCACGCCATATTATCAGACCACCTTAAGTGGGTCGGCCTTAAATTTTGAATTTGTGTGATCGCTGTTGATTGGTAGCTAAACTGCTGGTAAACTGTGTGTACAGACGTTTTACGTTCGAATTGCAGAGAAAAAAAATCTGGTAGCAACATTGTGCAGTATGAGCGAACCATTTCACCAAAAAAGGGGGAAGCAAGGCAAGACGTGGCTGCAGCGGTCTGCAGACGTGACTTCTGATCAAATTCGAACCTCCTAAAGAAACAAAGAGCGACGTTACATTGCGGGATGACGTCACCTGAAAATGACCAATAGCGTGGCGCGCTGCTGAGCTGTGTGCCAACCGCTCTTTTTTTCATGCAGGAGACTCAAGTTGGCTTCGCTAACGGACACAGTTTTGAACTCGTATATTAGCGCCATTTATTGCTGCTTGGACCACAGCATCTTCGGAATTTGTAGACATCCTGGCAGCTTACAATTAGTTCGAGGTGAGGTGAGTACATGCAACTTCAAGTTATCTCTGTTATAAAAATCCACCAGCCCAGCGTTTATAGATAATTTTAGCAGTTCGTTTTTTATGAGTGAGGTTGTGAATTTAGTTAGCATTTGTGAGTTGAGTTAGCATTACTGTTGTGAGGGAAGCATTGCTCTGGATTAGTTTCTGTATATGGCGTGCTTAATTCGCTAGGGAGGAATTACCAAAGTACATGGAGTTATGTTAACGTGTAATTTCTGTGGTAAGGTAGTTCAGTCATCAAGGGGCTGCGTGCTTCATTGTAAACTGCATCGGAATGAGCCACGTTGTTTCTTTCGGTGTATTGAAGCAGGCTGCAAGCAGACATACACCAGGTATGGCGCGTTTAAGGCTCATTTTTACCGAAGACACTCTGCCCCCACCCATGTCACTGGTGTGGTGGTGGTTTCTTCGTTTACATGTGCAATGGCGATGTGTGAACGTCAGTGTCAGAACTCTAAAGAGTTAATAGCTCATCTGAAGAGCCATATTGTGGAAGGACACGTGGTCACTTGTCCAGTAAGAGGATGCACAAATACCTTTAGAGTTAAATCATCTTTTGCTGCTCACATGTCACGTAAACACAGAGTTTTCAGACAGCAGCATTGGTGATTTATATAGAGAGTCTGCATGTCAATCATCATCTGTTCCAACCACATCAGATGACTTTGTACCCTTGATTTCCGAGCCTGCTGCACAGTCTATTACAGATGAAGATAACATGGAAATGCCCCCTGAATTCTGTGATCTTTTTCTGAGAAACGTTTCACTATTCTACTTAAAATTGCAGGGTCAGTTTCTACTGCCTGCTTCAACCATACAGAACATTGTAGAGGAAATGCAGAACATGCATGAGTTGGGACAGACATACAGTTTGGGTAAACTTGCATCACTGTTAAAAGATGACACATCATTATCAGAGGAGGACATCAATAAAGTCTGCGAGTCTGTCAAAAGCTATGATCTTTTTTCTGCATGTCATACCGGGCCATTGAGGACAGTGCACTCCAGAGCTCAGATCTTTAAAAAAGCCTTCAACTATGCGGAACCAAAGAAAATATTTTTAGGGAGAGATGAAAACAGAAAAGATAGGTTTGCCTATTATGTGCCTTTAAGAGAGACTTTGAGATGTCTGCTAGAGTCTGATCTGTGGCAGAAATCAGAAGAGCCCTCTACTGAGCCTCCTGCTGATGTTCTGTGTGACATAAGTGATAGTAAGCTGTTTTAAATAAAATGATTTTTTTGGTCAAAACCCACTGACTTAATTGATTTCTATCCATTAACATCTTACATGAAGTATGGGTACCAAATGGTTCCATTGAAACACAGTGTGCTGTCACAATAATGGTGCTGTTAGTTTGGTACTTACGAAACACTGTATAAAAGTGTAGTATCAAGCAAGATCAGCTTCATATTTTAAGACCAAAGGTACCACTTGGTGTAAATTGACCTTTATTCACATTCTTTTATCAGACATCTTGGAAATGGGGGACAGCATAAGGAGTTCCATTACTAAGGTGCTGCCGGACCTGTCTGCCTCAATCCTTGAAATTGTACTGGAGGCACTACAATCATTAGGAGTGGAGACATCTGAGAAACAAACCAGTAAGTATTATGATTTCATTGCACAATAGCCATGAAGGGCTTTCTGTTTTTTCGATTATGCTTTGGCCAAGGTCCAAAAAGTACAATTAATCTATTGTTTGTGATATTGTTTTACAGCACCAAATATGGAAATTTCAAGCCAGGCCAGCATATCGTCTCCATCTGTTTTAAGGTTTAAGGGTGGTGGCACAGCTAAGACCTAAGAGTCTCTTTCAAGGTTAGTAAAGTAAACAGATTCAAGAAGATATTTTACACATTTCTTTGTCGTCTGTCTCTAAATCTTATTTTGTCTTTATTATGATTAAAAAGGTTTGTTTTGTTCCTGCCCTTTTCAGACACTGAATTTGAGCAGAAACCATAAGGATACTCAAAGGACCTGTGACTCTCAGGAAATGGTGAGATTTCAGGTCATAATCTTTTTTTTTTCCCATTAAATTAATTTTCCTTTTCCCCTTTACAATATTGCTGTTTTGTTTTTGTAAACGGCATCAAATGAGAGGGACCGATGAAACAGTTTCAAGACAATGGCAGGAAAAACATGCTGAAGATTGAAACAAACCTTGGCTGGAAATATTTGGTATGTGTTTTACCGTAAATCAAATTGTTGAAAAACATTCAGCTACACTGCAACACAGGGAAACTTGATTTGCACTTATTTTGTTACTTTAATTTCTTTTCTCATTATTTTTGTCAGTTATTATTGTTTATGGTGTATGCCCTTCTTGTTTTCTTTCTGAATGCAGAAGGTATCTAGCCAGTCCACAATGAAAGCTTCGTTGCACCCCATGAGTCTTCTGGCAGAAATGATGGCGGCTGTATTCTTTAGTTTCCCTAAACATCACACCCTGCCTGTTTATACGAGGCTCTTCAATTAAGTCTGCACCCAAAGATTCAATGAGAGGTAAGCAGTGGTATTATTCAAGTTTTGCTAAAGAAAGATGGACAGGAGACACTAATCTTAATCAGCCGAGCTCAGGTTCATGTCCAGGTGAGCAGTTTCATACGCTATAAAAGGTAGATTGAATGATAGGTCTCATCACCATGCATTCAGCCATTAACTTCAAGATTTAAAGTATAACTATTGCCAAAACGCAACCTGGGCTGTGGTTTTTTTTTTTGTTTGTTTGTTTTGTTTTTTTTTGTTTTTTTACTGTATCGATTTTGATGTGCTCAAATTTATGCCCCGGCCCCCTAGTATTCCCATTCACTGGCTATTGACCACAAAATAAAATCACGGTCAATCTCAAAAACGGCTCGTTTGTCGTAATTATGCTTTTAGATAAATGTTTGTCTCGTTTACAGTAAAAAAAAAAACAACAAAAAAAACAGCCCAGGTTGCATTTTGACAATAGCTATCCTTTAAGAACTGTATATTTTACACTTAAGAAATCATTTATCATTAGATCTGGTTTTGGCAGCACGTTTTGTTCATTTCTGTGCATTTTGCTCAAGCACTGATCAAACTTCGTCCATTTTTTTTGCTGCAGAGGGGATCCTGCCACTCCAAAGTGAACTCCTGATGGACATTGAAGTACTCCTGCAGAGCTTGTATCTTCAACACCATGCGCATTAGAAACTCCACCGAGTCCTTTCCTTCACCAAGGCAGGACCCAGTGACTCATTACTGTTGATAGGTCAGGGGCAGGTAATATTTTGTTTCATGTTTATTCATTCCTCCATGGATTACCAGCCATATATATGGACACATGCTGTATTCTCAAGATCTATGCTGTTTTGTAGGAATAGAGAAAATGATATGTTTAGTCTGTTTTCAAATGGTATGTCAAATTTTCTCATTGTTTATCAGTAATATTCTCTACCTTGGTTGTATATGAGCATCTTTAGATTTTTCTATATTTAGCGGTTGCAAATGTAAAATGTACGGTAAACCATTTATGTTCCTCATATTGTACTGTATTTTTAGCGGTAAAATACCGGCAGCTGTGGTTGCCAGGAATTTACCGTAAAATGTATCTGGTCAAAATAAAATGCTGTAATTTGTTATACAATTTCACTGTGTTTTTTACTGTCAAAGGTTTTAATAAGGTTTAACATATTTCTGTTATTTTTACAGTTATTTACAATAATAGGGTCTATCCTATTACTGTTAAATTAACAACAAATTACTGTAAATATTATTATATTATAACTTTTTTTTTTACTGCAAATATCCGTAAAAAGCTATGGAAAGTTGCATTTTTTACATTAAATTGCTGTATAATTGACAAATATATTTGTTTTTTTCTATCATGATTTTGGTAAAATAATACGTTGTCTACCTTAAAAATTAGGGTTACAAAACCAGTATACCGTATTGTCTTTTACAGATTCCACATTTTTTACACGGTATATTCCTGGCAACCACAGCTGCCGGTATTTTACCGTAAATTTGACAGATTTTTTTTTACAGTGCACTTACATCTGAACTCGGTCATTACTAGACTGGCAAAGCCTGGGTTGGCTTATGGAGTTAATAACCACCTTTGTGTTAATGCTTAGCCTGATTGCCGATGGTTACATTGAACTTGCTTCACAGTACAGGGCACTGGCTACACCAGAAAAAAAATTCCATTGCTATCACAATTTGCAGACTGTGGGATCCTAGATTCTCATTGACTAAGTGACTGTAACAAATTAAACTGTTAAGTAGCTATATTTAGAAATTATAGTGTCAAGTTGGAAAACTGTTGTAAACAATTCTATACATTTGTATCTTTACATGTATAGCTTTTATTTTGTATCTTGAATGAGTTATTCATACTCTTAAGCTTAACTGTAAACACTTGACCTTTTTTAAATTTATATTGTGGGTTAGACCATCGGTCCCCAACCCACGAGCCACGGACTGTGAGTCGTTTGGTACCGGGCCGCGAGAGTTGAGGCTCGGGTGTGAAATGTGTGGTTTTCAGGGTTTTTATCAGTTTTTAGCGTTATTTTCTTATCGTTTTTATCGTTAACTCGGTTTTCCTGGGTCTTTTCACATGTGTTATGAATAAATCTTCTTTTTTTCAGTACTGGTACTAGTTTTATTTTGTTGTATTTATCCGCGACACCTTAAAGGCCGGTCCGTGAAAATATTGTCGGGCATAAACCGGTCCGTGGCGGAAAAAAGGTTGGGAACCGCTGGGTTAGACCATGTCAGTAAACCCTATTTCATGTTGGCACATGCTGTTCTCAAATTATTTATTTCCTTATTTAGTCTATATTCAAATGACAGGTAACTGTCTTAAAATCTTTCATATGGGAACATTAGCCAGCCACTTTTTTGTAATGGCGCCAAGGTAATTTACTTTTTTAACACTGTAATGCACCACAAAAGTAACATTTTTAGCTTTAGTATTTTTGTGTATATTCTCTGTGCATGTTTTACTCAAACAGGACTAATCACAGAGAGTTTCTGTGTAAAAAAAACTGGTACATGGAAAAATATTTGGCAGTCGGGATCTTATTTGTTTATTCAGGACACTTTGTCTTCTATGTCAAGCGTTGCATTAAACAATGGATGCTAGAATGAATGAGGCAAATATGACATGAAGATCTTAGTCCTTGTTTCTCTAAAAGTTGCCTGTATGAAATAAATCAACTGGTACTGCAGTGAGTCTGAATAGAGAATATTTTGTCATCAGCTTGTCTTAGTATGAGATTACTGCTAACAACAGGCAAACAGCGAACCATGTGAGAGTGATTTACCTCCACGCCAACTCGCACATGTTTGTGTCTGTTTTGTAATCTGCATTTTAAGACACGCAAAAAGGAACTTGACAGTATTGCCCACACCACATGTCACTCACTGCTTTCTCCGTTTTCGGCCTCTGCAAGCTTTTTTTTGGCAATTGTGGTCGCCAGATCTGAGGGGGAAAATCCCCCTTAAATACAACCAGGCTATTGATGGTAAAATGTCTAACAGATCAGAGAAAAGGAAAGACATGGAGGAGAGGAAGCGACATGGAGCTCTTTGATGGCAGCGTCGAGGACAGCATCTGCGTGTGGCATGTATATATCTGTCTGTATATGTGTATATATGTTGCTCTTTGTGTGTGTGTGTGTCTGCATCAGTGTGGGTGAACTTGACCATATTGTATATATGTGACTTTGCACGGCTAGTTGTCTGTCATTCCGCCCGTGAGCAACCGCAGTTTAGATACACAAAGCTGAGCAGGGGTGGTACGGTGAGTGTGTGTGTGTTTGTGTTGGTGGGGAAGCAGGGGTGTTAGCAGTCATTGGGTTTCAGCGGTTAACCCCTAAACTTTTTATTTTTTCAGAGGAGTTTGGGATTAGTGGGGGGCATTTTAACATCAGCACTGGTGTGTGGGCACATTATGTTCTTTATGGGCCCAAAGCAAGCAGGAGGGGAGGAAGTGAAGGGAAAATGGAGTGGGAGGAGAACATATGAGGAAGTAACTGCCACCAGTCCCCCAATACCAAGCTTGTACCCCCACCCTCCATTCCCTCGCACCACCACTGGAGAGAGAGGAGAAGGCTGCTGGACCACAGACCACCCAGAGAGATGGAGACACACCGATACAGACAAAAAGACAGACAGACGATGAAGATGTAACATAGTCACAGAGAGACGAGAATCCATTGTGAACCTGAAAGAATCAGACCAAAAGCATTTGGTAAAGAAAAAGTAACTGATTTATAAATTTATTGAGACACAAGCAATCAATCAGTCAGGCAGTTAAAAAAGACCATTGATAAACCAATAATAAATAAATGAACAGAGAAGGAAGGAATGACAGAAGAAAAAAAGAGAGAATAAGTTCATTATGAAAGTCATGACTAAATCCTCATACCCATCCAATTAACACCAATCATAGTGCTGATATGGCTTGCCTGCTTCGATGTTGTGATAAAACACTAAAAAGAGAGAGATAAAGTTTAATCTGTTAAAAGCCAGGTATTGCAGTCAGCTGGTATAACGTAACAGTGAAAGAAACAACTAACTCCAGGAAAGTGTGATTAGAAGAACTAATACTGCTGGATTTAACCCACTGATCCTAATTTATAAACACACAGAAGATGTAAAAATAAGCAGTACGAAGAAAAATTGTAACGTTTCTAAATCAGATATCACCCCATGAAAACAATACATTTGCCAGCAATCATTTTAGGTAACGGAAGTAATTAAAATATTGCAAGAGGTGCTGGCAGAGCTCAAGGACAGACTGAAAGTGAGAAAACCCAGTTTAAATGCTGGTATGACAGGACACACACACATGCACACACTGCTGCACATTACTGCTGATGGAGAGACATACTGAAATAAATCCAAAGGATACATTAAGGCATTGATGCTGTTAAACTTTGGTGTGCAGGTGAAATTGACAGGAACAGTCATTTAGGAAATGAAAAGAGTGAGTTTAGGGGAGAAGCACAAATCATCCATCCATCCATCCATCCATTCGCTTATGCTTTTCAGGGTCGCGGGGGGCGCTGGAGCCTATCCCAGCTGTCATAGGGCGAGAGGCGGGGTACACCCTGGACAGGTTGCCAGTCTGTCGCAGGGCCAACACACAGGGACAATCAACCATTCGCACTCACTTGCATTCGCACATTCACACCTAGTGACAATTTGGATTATTCAATTAACCTATCCCCACAAGCTGCATGTCTTTGGACGGTGGGAGGAAGCCGGAGTACCCGGAGAGAACCCACGCAAACACGGGGAGAACATGCAAACTACACACAGAAAGGCCGCAGCCTGATGTTGGAATTGAACTCAGGACCTTCTTGCTGTGCGGCTAACCACCGTGCCACCACTCAAGTACAAATGCTGGTGAAATAATATTTGTATTCATTAAAAAAAATAAATGAATACTCCAGAGGAAGATCCAGTTTTTGCACTCCAAATGAGTCAAACCAAGGCACAATTCTTAGGTTGAGCTGGGGCTTTCCCTGAGCTGAAAAAAAGCCCCACTCATTTCTACATGAAAGAAAGGAATGAAACAATTACACCATGGACAACAACTTAATGAATGCATTAAAAAAGAAAAATATGTGGGGAACCTAATATAAATGAAACAAAAGGTAACTAGAAAGAATTTTTACAGACTGTCACTCTTTAGGGAATCATTGCTGTGACTTTTGTTTTCATGTGCTTTTGGTCCCAGGAGTAAAGAAAAAAAAAACCCCTCTATGCTGTTGTCTTTTATTTCAAACATGTTCTGGAACAATAGAGGTCTGTCTATCCACCAGGCCTGTTTTCATTCTCCGCTCATTCTGGACAAGAGCTGCACTTCAGACAAGATACAGAATTTCAGGAAGACAGAAAGGTTGATCAAAGGTCCACATTTATCCTCATGTTTCTTTCACATTACGTGCATTGCTGCAACAATGCTCTCACACACCAAGCTTCGTGTGTGTCCAATGCAAGGAATAAGCTCAAGGACAGATGATTTCAGTAATATGCAGTTTTCTTATGTCTTTGCAGCTCATCATACATGTATCACATACTAGAAAGCCCTTATGGTGTCTGAAGAAATCCACAAAGCTCTGGTTTGTATGCTGATGTCTCTGTTCTATATGTACTGTGAATATGTGTGCATGTGTGGGTAGATGACAGAGTTCTGAGTTCACCACATCAGTGTTAGCAGTGTGTTTGTGTGGTTTCCTCCACTTCACCGCTGCCTCCTCCACTAAGTGTCACTGCTCCTCTGTTTTCTCTCTTTCACCCCAATATTGTTAACATCATTAAAGCTTTTCTTTTGACCATTTTTTCATTTTTTTCAGATGGTCAACTGGCCAATGGAGAGTCTGAAAATGGTTTATTTACATTTGAAACTAAATCTGCCTAACTTGTACTACTGTTTATGGAGGTGTATGTGGTTCTTAGAGAGAGGACATCTTGAAAATTAATATATCATCCTTATTCTCAAAGGATTGCAACACACATGGGTCTTCTTGACAAAGCTCCTGGGAAGTAATAGGAGTACCCCTATGATTGCTAAAGCCCCATTGACGCAGTTCTAAAGATCGACCAGCGACATGCTAACAACCTAGTAGTTATTGAGTATTTGTAGACCAACATTAAAAACTACATCCAACTGGGGCAATCTGCTAGCAACCAAAGCAATCACTAACTAATCACTGACT